TGTCCCCAGCACCTAGCAAAGTGGAGTCTTGAGGATTTACTGGTACTGTCTGCCTAACTGAAAAATATGATATTCTGCTGGCTTTGAACTGTAAGTTATCTCAGGACATGGTGAAAAGGAAGCACGGAGGGGGCATTTGTGGTTCTGAGAAATTTTGTCCCAGAAGTAGGACACTATATCTGTTAGCACTGCTGTGTAACAAAACACCCCACACATAGTGGCTTGAAGGTGCTGGTGGGCAATGTGGCCTGACTCAGCTGGGCTGCTCTGGATCTGGTTGGGTGTGACTGATCTCTTGGCTGGTCCTGCTCAGCATCTCCCCTCAGCTGGTGCCTCAGCTGGCACTAGCTACTATATGATGGTTTTGCCAGTCCTCATAAGACAGCTCAGGTGACAGGGGCTTCGATCTGCATGGTCCCCCACCCTCTGACAGGCTCGCCCAGGCTTGTTCATATCATGGCAGAAGGCTTCCAAGAGCAGCAGGACAGTGAGCCCCAATGCAAGGGCTCTCAGGTCTCTGCATGTAGCATGTTGTCTCCTGTCCCATTGGCTGAAACAAGTGACAAGGGCTGCCCAGATTCTTCTTGATGGGAGGGGCTGCAAAGCCATGGTCCAGGGCACAGGCATAAGGAGGGGAAGAACTTTTGGCCATTTTTGCAAACGTGCACACATGTTCACAAACATACACGTGTACGTTTTCTACTCATATCCCACGAGAAAGTACTCGCAGTATGTCTGCAAGGAGAGCTGGGAAGTGTTTTCCTGTCTGCTGAGCCACTTTCCAGCTGCATCTGTATTAGTGTGGAAGGGGAAAATGAACCTCGGTGAACAGTTAGCTGCCTCTGTTTCAGGAATATTGTCAAGACTGCCAAGTAGGAGTCTGTAGCGGGCTGTACCCATTTGTATTCCACCAGCAAAGCCCGAGAGGGCCCTGGCATCACCAACAGAATGTGTTCCTGAATTTACAGATTTTCACTAACCTAAGAGTCCAAAAATACTATCTTGATATATTTTTTATTTGCATTACTTTTCAAAAAAATTTTAAGAAGGGGAAGTTGAGTCTCTTTTTATGTTTAAGGACCATTTGTATTTCCTCCTCTCTGAACTGTGGATTCATATTCTTTGACCATGGTTATTGGTCTTTTTCATATTAATTTCCAGGAGTTCTTTGTCTATAATTTTGAGATTAGCCCACTGTCTGTGACATGAGTCATAGGCATTTTCCTCTGGGTACATCTTAATGACAGCCACTACATTAGCCACCATGTGGCTGCCCTCCTGTTTTAAATGTCACCATTTGTCAGAAGCCTAATAGAGGTAACACCTACTTAGATGCTACGCCATTATTTGCACTGTCTATCATATCATCTACTGTTTTCTGTTTGCATCACTGTTTCCTAGTGTTTTCTCCCAGATTAAAGTCTTTTAAGAATTTTTTGAAATAATTAAAGATTCACAGGAAGTTGCAATATAATGCAGAGAAGTCCCATGTACTCATCACAGAGATGTCTTTGATGGTGATGTCTTGGATAGCTACAGTACAATATCCAAGCTGGGAAACTGACGTGAGTACCACGTGTATACACCACTTTGTCGTATGTGTAGATTCATGTAACCATCACAGCAATCAAGATACATCACCACAAAGATCTCCCTAATTCAACCCTCTAAAAATCACAGCCACTCCCTTGCACTTCCCCCACATCCCACCATCATTCTCAGCTCCTGGAAATCACTAATACTATTTTCTTTTCTAATCTGTTTAGTTTTTTCTTCATACACTTTCATTGTATGAAATCTCCTCTAGTGCTCCAAGCATAGGATTAGATGTAAAATTTGCTTACTCAAGCAGACAGAGCAGATTTCTGACTCATTCCTGGGATTACATCACATCTCACCCATCATCATTTTCTTGAGCTCCCACATTCTCTGCAACCACCCCTTTCCAGAGCTACCTCAGGTGCCAGACAGTGGTCTTCCATCCCAGAGGTCTCAGGGTCAGCCCATCTCTTGTCTCACTCCAACGTGGGTGTGAAGAAATGGGATGACCCCTGGAGGTCTGAGATGGCGCCTTCCCTCTCCCTGGTAGCTGAAGCCACCGGTCTACCAAAATTTGCAAGGCAGAGATTGAAAAAAATAACTCTCAAGTTAAACAGAAGTCATAAGGAGAGCTCAGCCCAATGGGAGAAGGCACAGTACAGGGACCTTTCCCCCCATGTTTATCTACTAAATTCATCTCTGGTTGGCAGAGGGAGTTGGTTCTGGTAAAGAAACCCAGCAAAAGGGACTCTAGAGAATTTGTCTGAAGCACCCCCGAGACGGTTAAGCATTTGTTAATTTAGTACACAGCCCTTGTGGCTTAGGGAGGGTTTCAATGTTTCATCTTGGTCTAGAATCTTTCCATTAAGCAGAGTCTTGTCATAAAGCTCAAAGTCTTACCTCAGTTGAGAGGAATAATTAGGGCCGGGAGGAAAGAGGATGAGACTCAACCCTGACCCCATTCTGGAAGGTCTCCTAACAGACTCTGCCATCAAGAACAGAGGGGTCCCTCAACCTTCTGGCAATCGTGTGCTCAGTTGGACCCTTTAAGATCTAGACCCAGAGAAAACATGTCTTCAATGAAATAGCCTCCTAGGCAAATTCCAGCACCCCCTCCCCAGGCCATGGTGTCAGCACAATCTACGGCCTGGAAGGTGTGACCACCAATAAGAGACCAGAGGTGTTCAGAACCTTGATTGTGACTACTGTGCAAAGGGAAAAAAAAACAGAGAGATGGAAGCAAGCCGAAAGCTGCAGGAAACAGCTCCTCAAATAATTCTGCTGCATGTCACTGAAAATAAAGGAAAGCAAAAGCAAGTGATACACAACGTGAAATTAGGATGCAGGCCCCAGGCATGGGAATCTATCCATTAGATAGTATCCTGCCTTTAGTTCATGGGTAAACAACTTCGTCTGTTCCCAGGTGACCCCTCTTACCGGGGGTCCTTTGTGTTTCAATCCAGTGCCCTGGACCCACTCATCAGGTCTGAACTGGTGCCCAGAGTGGCTGCAGTGACGAGATTCTGCAGCTCTCTGCTCCACATTAGTCACCTGTTTCACCTGTCTGATTAGCTGGCATGCAATGAAGATACAGGGCATTGGTATTCTCCGCACACGAACAGCTCGGTCTAAGATAGAGCTTTGCAAATGATGCGGTCACTTTGGCACAGTTTGGCAGTTCCTCAAAATGTTAAACACGGAGTCACCATATGACTTAATGATTCCATTTCTAAGTACATTCCCAAGAGAACTGAAAACATACGTCCACACAAACCCTGTGCGTGCGAATATTCATAGCAGCGCCATTCACAGTGGCCCAAAGGTGGGAACAACCCAACTGTCTATCAGCTCATGAACACATTAAAAAAAATGTGGCTTATCCATACAATGGAATATGATTGGACCATAAAAGGGGATGAAGGACAGATACACGCTACAAGATGGAAGACCTTGAGAACACTATACTCGGTGAAAGAAGCAAGTCACAAAAGATGACATGTTGTATGATTCAATTTAGATGAAATATGCAGAATAGGCAAATTCTAGAGACACATTACTGGTTACCATGGGCTGGAGGAGAGAGAAAGATGGAGAGTGAACAGCTAACGGGTTAGAGGTATCTAATCTGGGGTGATTAAAATACTCTAAAATTAGAAAGTGGCGATGGTTGCACAACTCCGACTATTTGAATATACTAAAATCACTGAATTGCACACTTTAAGAGAATATATTTTATGGTATATGAATTATATCTTTATAATGCTGCTATTAAAAAAAAAGAAATAGAGCTTGTCCAGTAAATAAGTGCCTGCTAAAAAATTAGTATTAGGGGAAAAAAAATCAAAGCAAAGTTAACCAATATGCTTACAACTTGGAAGGTGAGCTAAAGTGATTGGTCTCCATCCCAGACATTACAAATGACAACAAAGAACCTTCTGCCCACTTTTCAGTGTCTTCCTCCATTCACAGCCTGATCCACTGCTTAGTCATTCATGTTTTGAGATTCAAGAAAACCAGAGGCAGCGAGATGACATCTGCTAGTTCCGAAGAAGCAGAAGTGGCATCAGAATCTGGTCACTCACCCCATTAACCATTCATTGCTTCCAGAAAGATGTGTATGCCTACTTTGTCCACAGCACTTAAAGCTCTGTCTTCAAGAGCTTCTAGTCTAATGACGGAGGTGCACATGGGGACATTTTACATGATTGCAATGCAAGCTCTTAAAGAGGTTTGTTCTGGACACAGATGGCATGTACATAAAGGAGAGATGGACCCTGCTTGGCTTCGGGACAGAAGGGTGGACTTTGAAGAGGGGGTGATGTTCACCTTGGTTTGGGGTCTTTGGAGGCATTGATCAGAGGAACCAGTCTAGGATGGTCATCTTAGTTTACACTTCAGTGAGGCTCCCCGACTAAGGGTTTGGCTTGGAGTGAAAATTCTGCGGAGTACGAGGTCCGGAGAGTGGCTGCAGTGCACGCAACACAGGATGGCGTTGGCACCGCATGGCGCCCTGGGAAGAGCTCACGCAGAGAAGCCAAAACACAGTCCTTAAATCACATAGACCATTCAAGTCTTTCAGGGAACTTTGATTTATTCTGTTTTCTTTTACTCTTAGGAAACCAGAACTTTTCATTTCCTGGAATCCCTTCTGTTCTTCTTGTATACTAATTAATCAAATGACTCAATTAAGCCATCACTCAATTAAAAACAAAACAAAACACCAGGCAAGGTGCTGGGAATGCAAAGGTGGTGTCACAGACTTGCTCCTGTGCAGCTCACTGTTCAGCATAGCGCTCTCCAGAGTGTAGCCCAAGGACCACAGCCCTGCCGCCAAGGGAGGTGGTTAAAAATACACATCCCAAGGACAAATCCTAGTAGGTCGGGGGAGCCAGACCTGGAAATCTGCTTTCCAGCAAGGATGCCCCATGTGCTTCTGGCTGGTGGTCCTGAGAACAACCCTGAGAAACACTGGGACAATGACAATGATACTATCCCATGGCAGGGGCTCCCAAGGGCCAGGCGGCTGACACCATGGATGCACAGAGGAAGGGCAGATGAGATCCATCCTCCCCATGGCAATCCATTTTCAGATGACTCTTTCTTGGTGGGTGGTTGCAGGCTGGGGATCAGTTCACAGACTCCCTCAAAGATGAGCATCAGCATTAAACGCTGTTGTCGTCTTTCTCCATCAAGATGACTTACCGTGTCTTGGTATCAGATGTGACAGCTCTGGATCCAGACTCTGAGTGCCACAGATGCTGAGGCTCCCAGGCTCCTCTGTGGATGATCACCTGCCCAGATGCTGACCCCATTAAAGGAAGGTGACAACATACACAGAAAGGGACTGTTTGGCCCCTTGGCCAAAAGGAGATACAATAACCAAGGGAAAAGATAAAAGAGGAGAGAGGAGGCTCAGTTGGGGAGGAGGAAGAGTGAGTGAACTGGCATTTCTAAATGACAAATCACACCCCACCCCAGGGTGGGACACAGCCAGCTGTCAGCGGAGACGGGTTTCCAGTTTGGAAGAGCAGAGCAAACACCAGCTCTGGTGTCAGCATATTTCTGGACTTGAACAAATAGCTTCATCTTTCTGGGTCCCCTCAATTTGCTTCTCTGTAAAATCAGAATGTTAATATCGATCCCTCAGGCTGCCGGAAGGATTAAATATGGGGGAAAAGGTTCTAGCAACAGACCTCCGCACAAAGTAACGTACCTGCTTTCTTCTTCAAACTATGGGTTCTAGGGGGTCAAATTTCACAGAATTTCCAGTATTAAGGATAACAGTAGATTATTTAATGGGTGTCTACTAAGCGCCAGGCCTTGTTCTAAGCATTTTGCATACGAGGAGTCACTTAGTCTGTAGGGCACTCCTGAGAGGCAGTTACTGTTATCACCCCGATTTTTGAAGGTGGAGAAGCTCACCAACTACAATTATTGTATACCCACCAAGAACAAGGTGCAAGCTATCCTCTTTCTCTTTTCCTTCCCCAGTATCCTTTTTTTTTTTAACTAGTCATGTCTTACCAGAAAAAGAATTCTCCAAAGAGGAAGTTGAAAACTTGTATTTTTCAGGAGAAGAAACGGCGATCCCACTCTAATCCCTGACTCATTGCCATTGAGTGTCATCATGGCCCTTCGCCTTGGCAACCAACCCCCTTGCTCTCTACGCTTCCCCCTGCTACGTGTCCCTTAGGTCAAACCAGCCCAGTGTAATCCCAACTCCACCACTAAGGTCCACCAAAATGCAACAGCTAGAATTATCTTCCTCATTTACTGTGGACACGCCATTACCCACATGGGATCCAGTCAGGAGCACCACGTGGGCATGTGGTGCCCAAAATGACGGTGGACAGTGAAGTACACACGAGACAGAAAGTGGCCCTGATGCGTGTAGCTGATGGCAGGAAAGGCAGTGTGGCTCACAACCCACGAAATCACTACAGAAACTGGGCTGAACTGCTTCCCTGACGTTGGCCTTAGTTTCTCCCTCTGTGAAATGAGGGCAAAAGATTGGGCCATTTCTAAGGTTTGCCTGACCAGACAGCATGTGCAGTTCACTAGAAGACTGTGGTATGAGAAGCCAGATGGCAAAAGAAGCAGCATACAGGCTTCAGAGTCAAACCTAAACCTGACCACTGACTCTCCTTTGCTGTCTGTGTGTCCTTGGGAAAGTTACTTATCCTCTCTGAGTCTCCCTCTTCTCTTCTGATAAAAGAACCAAGCTTTATGTTCAGGCAGGTGGAAATTCCCAATTTCAAGAAAGGCAGGCCTCTACTGTTTCCTGGGTCTGACTAATAATCTGCATAAACCAGTCATGGTGATCTCCTTCCCTACTAGCAGTGATAGAGTCCGAGATTCAGTCTATGACCAATTTCTAAACCATGGGAGGTAAAGGGAAGTCTGCCATGGAGAGCCTTCTCCTAAATAAAAAGTCAGGGCCTCTTGGAGAAAGAATTTTGGCCTTGCTTCTTCCTTCCTGCTTGAGACCCTGGGGGGAAGACAAGATGTCTGGGGTTATGGCAGCCATCTTGCCGCCAAGAGGCAAGGAGCACAAAGACAAAAACCCAATATGCTAAGAATGAAAAAAGATGGAAAGAATCTGGGGTCTTGATGATGTTGTTGAGCTGCTGCCCAGGCACTGGACTCCCTGCCTCCTCATGGCTTAAAGCACAGTTACCTGCAGCCAAAAGCTCTCCTAAGGGAAATGATATAAATAGCATTTGGCCAAGAAGATGAAAAAATGAAGATGTGCATTTTCTGTCTGTAAAGACTGTTTTGCTGAGGCATTTTTTTAAGTTATCAGATAAATTTCCTAATAACACCATTTCTACATTTTTCTGCTGAACCAAAAATGAAAACAGAACAATCAGGTGAAAATTTCCTTCTGTTCCAGACACTCTGTCCTCTCTGGCCTTACACAGTTCAGCTCACTTAGGCACTGAGAAGCTAGGCATATTTGCCTTCTCATGACCCCTGAAGGCAGCAACATCAGATTCACCAGAGTACAGGCCCCACTCCAGTACCCACAGAATCTGAATCTTCAAGGATGGGGGCCACGATCTTGAAAGCTCCCCAGGGGCCACACTTTGATGTACATTCAAATGCAAGAAACACCAGCCTACATGATGGGCTCAGGATTCTGGTGCAATTATCTGGTTCTTCAGTCATTTTCCTGCGATTGGAAGGACAGTATCCTATTGACTGGCCGTGAAGTACCACGGTGTGCACACCAGGAGTTCAGGCACTACACAGACTGACCCTCCACCCAGGCATTCAGTGGTGACAGGCACTGATATCTGGTTCTCACGAGAGATGTGCCTCTCTGGAAGACTGGCTTGTCCTGACTGTATCGCCACCTCCTCCTCTATAACCTGACACTGGACCATATCGAGCCAGAGACACTGCACTGGTGGACAACTGGGACCCTCACTCCGAGTACAACCCTCTCACATAACATTACATCAATTAGTCTCCTCCGTACCTGGGGGCTAGGCACCACTGTGACCTCTACTTCCTCCTGAGGAGTCTAGCCGAGGTTAGGCTCAAGGTCATAAAGCTAGAAAATGGTAGAGTGTAAGGGAAGCTGGTTTGTGACTGCTGCCTGCTGCTGCCCCCAGGCAGAGCTTCTGGTGAACCAGGATCCTTTTTCCTAGAGGAATGCCGACTATCTGGCGTGGAGTACAGAAGCTCCCAGGCAGCAGTGAAAGCAGACTTCAGTTACTCAAAGGACAGTCAGAGGAGGCTCAGACAACCTCGGCTATAAGGTCTTAAGGACAGAACTCAAACCAGAGACAGGAAGTAAGACAGCCATGGGGTTACGCTTATGCAAGGCTGACTCAAGAGGCCCAGAAACAGAGAAGACGGTCTTCCTTCCAAGGGATGCAGACAACACAGGCCTCGTGCCTGCCAGGCATTCCAGTGGATGCACACAACAGAGGCTGCACACCTGCAAGGCGGGGGTTCTAAGGAAGGGCTTGAAGTCTCAGGACCACCAAGAAGATCCAGAAAGCTGTTTTAGCCCAATTCTGAAACAAACTTAGATGCAACAGTGGTGTACAAACTCTGATATGCTTGGGACGTAGTGAACATTTAGCTAATATTTGCTAAGTAAGTGAACTGAATACAACAGGGGTGAGGAGGACCGGATATACCCTTTATTTCATCCTCCATCATGGGCTACTGGTCTTAACCTCTGTAAGTCCTTCTTTTCTTGTACAGTGAGCTCCACGGGCTTGTTAGTCTCTGCGTGTCCCATCTTCCTCACCTGTAACACGTGTTATTCTGATCTCTGTCCCCACAGGCTCCGGGCTGGGACTCCGCATGTAACAGGTGCTGGGCTTCACCAAAGGGTGATGAAGCAAGTCATGGACTTTTACTGGGTCCATCTATCAGGGTACAGTCAGGAAACAGGAATCCCACACCAAGGAACCTTAATAAAGTGCTGCTTGCCAGGTATGGGGGCGCTGTAAAAGCAAAGAGGCAATAGCACCTGCCAGGGACCACTGCCAGAGGGCTGAGCCAATACAAGGAAGGGGTTAGGATTGCTAGACTTTTTGGAGCTCAGAAGGGGGGCTCACAGCACAAGGACCCAGCCTCTGAGAAGGGGGCAGCCCAATGCAGGGCTGCAGACTGGAATGAACCGCACAACCAGACAACAAAGCCCTGGTGGGACGGTTCTGCCAAGAACAGACAGCGGACAAGCAGGAGCAGACCCTTCTCCCCCGCCGGCGCCCTCTTGCCCCGGTGGGGAGAACCTCCCAGGAGCCGCGGGCAACACTGACGTGTTAGCAGAGTCCCAGCCCAGGGTCACACAGCGGAGTCCGGAACGGTGGGATGGAAACTGAGAGTAATGACCTTAAATGAGCACAGCGGGGATGGAGTCTCCCAAACGTCAGTGCCGGACTCTCCTGCTGGGTCATTTCCCCAGAGACGGCCCAGTTTTCGGTCTGGAGGATGCAGAACCAGCCTGAACCTCCTAAGTACTCAGGAGAGGAGGCGCTGCTGAGGGGGAATTCTCTTTCAGGATGCAGACTTTCAGGTCATCTCCCTAGTTTCACTCCGGCGCCTGGCCCAGCCCCGTGGGTGCACGGTGAGCTGTGTCCGGAGCCGCCGTGGATGCAGCGTGTCCCAGGACAAAAGCTCCAGCACTGTGTGGGGCTGACGGCGGGCTGGGGTTCCCACCGCTTCTCATCTAAGACTATCGACCGACCACCTCATACTCAGACCCACTGCATGCTGTGCTGGGGGTACCCCAAACCTCTCAGGGCTCAGCCTCGTCTGGGGTCACAGAGCCATGCACCTGTTTGCTGCTCTGAGAGGCCAGATCCCACTCCTCCACCTGCACTCTGCTTCCCGGACTTAGTGATGCCTCTTGTCTGTCCTTCTTTCTTCCTATTATCTTAGTCCTTGTAAACTATGTCTTTTCTTTACTCCTTTCCTTCCAGTTTCGTGGCCTCTGGGAAGGAAGAAAAATTAGCTCACGTGTCCAATCTGCCCTCTTCTATAATTTACATTTTTATAACTTTATAATTTACTTCTAAAAACTTTTCCCTAATGTTTTATGCTTTTTTGTAATTTACATTTTTAAATGTAATTTAAATGTTTTATAATTTACATTTTTTTTAAAAAAAAGCTTCATAATTTGCATTTTTAAAAAGGCATTTTGTGGGTCACTTAAACCCCACGTGTAAGCCAAACTCATCTACTGGGCCAGGGCCTGTGACATGTGCAAGGCAAGGCAATTCTGCACCCTGAACAAGGGAAAGCCAAAATAATTTGGGTCATTTTGCTTGGAAAGAGAAGGCGGAAGAACAAATTAACGGTGAAGAAAAGACCATTTGAGGACAGCTCCCAGCTGTTCCTTTGCTCTGAGAACAGAACCAAAGGGTCTGAGCCTGAAAGTGCAGCATAAGGGATTTCGCCCGGACGAGAGGAGAAGTCACCTCTCACCTGGAGCACTGCGGGGGCCACAGGGTCTCCCCACCTGCGACCCCTCCCTCTCTAAGCAGCCTCTGTGCTGTTTGTCACCCCGCCCCCTGGTTTAGACCCTCTAAACACAACAGAGCATGTGTTCAATTGCTGCCCAGTTAATTACAGATAGATGGACATGCCAGGGCCTGCGCCGCGCACCGGGAGACAGTGATGTGGACAGACGCGGTCCCTTCCCCGGCAGTGAGCCAGAAACAGACAAGTCCACAAGCCCTTTCAGTACGACGTGAAACCCACCTGTGATTGCTTCTCTTTTCTCATCTTTATCTGCTTCCTGGCCCTAATGTGTGCCAGTCCGTGGCTAAGCCGCATGTTAAAGTTTACACAGGAAATCGTCACTGGAACCCTGTGAAGTTGCTGCTTCAGTCTGATTACTTCCATTTACCCCCATTTTTACACATGAGGTTTAAAGAGGTGAGGTCATCTGAAAAGGCTGGTTAGGTACTGCTTTAGTTTCCTAACTGCTGTCACGTGCTATCACAACCCCAGTGGCTTAAAAACCACACATTTATTCCCTCACGGTTCCGGAGGTCAGTACAAAATCCTAGTAGACTAACGTCAAGGTGTCGGCAGGGCTGCGTCCCTCTGGAGGCTCTGAGGGAGACTCTGATTCCTCACCCTTTCAGTTTTGGGTGCTGCCTGCATCCCTTGGCTCTTGGTCCTCAACATGCATCACTCTGGCCACTGCTTCCATCATCACATCGCTTCTCTCTGCAGTCAGATGTTCTTCTCCTCCTCCTCCAGGGACACCATGATCTGCTTTTACTCATAACACCGATGACACCAAATGTGTAGGCGGTTTCCTCCCACCAGCGAATTCTCTAACTGGACACCAACTGGGTGTCCTATCACCCAATTTGATTCTGACCCTTACTACCCAGAGTCAGCATGGACCCCACAGGTGGAGGGCTCAGACCTACAAGATTCCCTCACTTTGGATGCCAGTCAGCAGTATCGGATCCCTAGGGTACCCACACCTCTGTCCAACTTGGCTAGAAAGTCGGGGGTTCCCACGACCCTTGCCTTTCAGATTCAATAGTTTGCAAAACTCACAGAACTCAGGAGAGCACTTGACTTCCTATGACCAGTTTATTACAAAAGATTCAACTTGGGAACATCCAAACGGAAGAGATGCCTAGGGTAGGTGTGTGGGAAGTGGTGCAGAGCATCCGAGCTCTCTCTGGGTAGACCACCCTCCCAGCACCTCTTTGGATTCACCAACCTAGAAGTTTACTGAATCCCACTGTTTAGGGATTTTTAATGAAAGTTCCATCACATAGCAGGATTGATTAAATCACTGGCCAGTGGAGATGATTAACTCCATCTCTAGCCCGTTTCCCCTCCCAGGAGGTTGGCGGTATGTGGCTGATGGTTCCAAATCTCTAATCATGCCTTGGTCTTTCTGGCGATCCATCCCATCCTAAAGCTGCCTTGGGGCCAAGGGTGGCCTTGTTAGAATAAAAGATGTTCCAATTACACAGGAAATTCCAAAGAGTTTAGGAGCTCTGTGTCAGGAAATGGGGACAAAGACCAGACATATATTTTTTATTCGATCACAGAGACCCATTACACTTAGGGCTCACACATAGAGTCCAGGACAGTCTCCCCAAGCAAGATCCTTTACTTAATCCTGCCTGCAAAGTCCCTTTTGCCACACAGGTTAACTTTCACAGCTTCTAAGGATTAGGATGAAGATACCTTTGGGGTAGGATTCTTTCCACCACAGGTAAAAAGGGGAAGGCCTGGGATTCAGACCCAGTACCTGAAGGTCAAGTTCAACCACACTGCACACCCGCTTCCCCATGAACCATGAGTTCCAGTCACACCAAATTTACCCTCAGGACCATTCTTCCATGGTTTTTCCAAGGTGTTTCTTTTGCCTGCAATTCCCTTCTACTTGGCCTCTTGAAAACTCCTACTTAACCTTCAAAGCCCAGCTCAAGTTCTTCTCCTCTGTATCCTTTTCCCGCCACTCCTGAGCAGAGCTGGTTCTCCACCTTTAATGCCCCCACAGCACTCTGGTCAACTCCCCAGATGAGTAGCAACTCTGTAACTCTGCAGTTACTTCTGCTTCTTTCTCCCCCTTTCTATTTATGCAAGAATCCCTTTCTTTGTGGACTGTTCAGTATCTTCCATATCCAACTCTACCTGCCACCTTGAAGGTGTTCAAGACACATTCCTGAATTAAACTAAAACTAATTAAGAAAATAAATAAGTGGACTGCATTATAAAAGGCAGACTGTGCAACCTTCCCCAAAGGTTAAGTAAAAAAAGGGAACTAGGACACCTTCATTTTTCTCCTATTAATGTACTGAGCCCAATGCTGAGCATTACACTGGCTACTGGGAACACAGAGAGGAATAAAACGAGACGTAGGGGTCCCCTACTATGTGTGTATTGTGCTTGACACTGGTGGCCACACACGTTAGCTCATTTAAGTGGAGGTCTGCCAGATGCGAGGGAAGCAGCCAAAATGATGTCCCTGTGGCCCCTTCCAGCATGTGGATTCTAGAAAATGAGCGTATGATCTCTTCTCTCACTCCTGGCAGCTTTTCTGAATTTCAGAATGCTTAACGCGGGGTGAAAAGGCATCTTAAGAGACCTTCCAGTCCAGCGTTTTTGAAACTAGAGTCTGCTGCACATTAGGGGGTTGTGAAAATAACTGAGTGGCTTTCACAAGCATTTTAAAAATCAAAATACATCAAATAAAGAGAAATATAAAAATTCATGGAACATAGTAAGGTTAAGTATTGTTTTATGAAACTCTTGTTTAAGCTGCACATCTATGTAATGAGTCTCTACATACGTATGTG